CTCCTTCTGGAGGTCAGGAATAAGCTGTCCCACAGGAAATACCAGATTCTTCTCTCTGAGCCTGCCTGGGGCCCTCCCCCAGCCCACGCATGTGGCCAGGGGTCCAGGCTCTAAGCAACTGGAAACGCTGCGCTGCCTGCAATGACGCTTTCCCTGGTGAGGGGTGAGGGCTGGGGTCTAAATGCTCCACTTGTCCTGGTGGTCTCTGTACTGTCTTTGCAGTTTGTGCCATTTTGGTTTAAGGCCGAAGGCAGCTGGGGGACTAAAACCAAAAGGCAATCAAGGATCCGAACAGGATGTGCACTGGGCCTGGGTATCTGCTCCCAGAGCCTGTGTCTCAGACGGAGGAGAAATGGCAGGATGGGGTCTGTTTCCTTTAAGCTTCAAGTTTTGGGGCCAGAGGTCATCTTAGCCTTCTGCTGCCCCAGATAAATGGAAATTTCTCTCTCTAGAAGATAGTTAACCTCATTCCTCCATTCCTGTGCCTCACAGTTCATGGTCTCCTGATGAATGTCCTAAAAATCCAACCTAAACTCTTTCTGTGGCAGTTTCTGCAGATTCTGTGTCCTACAGTGAAAGGGATCCCGGCCCGTTGCCCTCCCCTGGGGGAGAACTTAGTGAGGTCTTGCCAAGAGGCAAGGTCTGATAAGGGGGTTGAGGGTGCCGATCAGCCATCCTGCCTCAGGTGGTCAGTAGACTGCAGTTTCCTTGGGGTTTGTTGTTGTTGTTTCTTCAAATATAAGCAAAAGTTATTTGGAAAGTTACAGAGTTAGAAAAAGTGAGCCAGCTGGGCTGCATGGGCTCAGGAAATGAGGCAAAATAATGGCCCTTGGAGCTTAGGAGAGAGTGAGAGCAAAGGTGAGTTTTTGAAGGATGGAGAGGGAGGAAAGGTGCAGGAGAGAGAGAGAGAGAGAACCGAGGTGTCCCTGTTTAAGGCAGACCCAGGTGCCAAGAAGTAAAAGGAACTATTACAACTCTGCTGTCTCTCCCAGCCTTAGGGAGGCGCTCTGGGCAGAATTGGCATCATCCTTCCTCTCTGAATATCCTCGTATTTGTTGGTCAAGTCTGTGCATCTGTCTAATCGAGGGGAGGGTACTTTTTGAGATCAAAGGTCTTTGGGACTTGTGCCCGTCGACCTCCCTTCTGGCCATCCCACCTACACATACACATAGCTCTGCCCACCCAGGGCAGTGGCAGGGGGCAGGGAGGTGGCCAAAGCCATTGCTCCAGAGCACGTGGCTCTGGCTTTGTCCCCCTCCTTGTGTGATGACTGCTCCCCTGACAGCAGGGCAGCTTTGGACAGGACGTCATGCTCTTGGCTTGTAAGTCTCAAGACAGGAACTAGGGAAGTGATTGCTGTCCTCCTCCCTGGCTCAGCAGCCCAATATTCAGGGGATATTTGTTGAGAACAGCCTAGCCAACAGAGACCCAGGATGGGTAAGGACCAGATCCCAGATGCCTGCGAATGTTCAGCCTGACTCCTCCTTCCCCCAACCAGGCCAGAAGAGGAGTGCTGGGGCCAGATAGGCCAGGTGAGAGTCAGGCCATCTCTTCCGCTCTCTGGGGTGACCAGAAGGCCCAGCACTGAAGAGGGGGAAGCTCCAAAGTGCCCCTCAATTCAGATACCATTCCTGAAAAGCCAGCTCCAGGGTCCCAGGCAGATCTCCCCACAGGCCAATGCCCTGCTGGACAGGGATTCCTGCCCTCCCCACCCACCCCTCTGTTCAGAACCCCTATTTCTAAGATGCATTTCCAGAATCGCTGCTGTAAACTGCGCAAGCTCCCTCAGCGGCCACTGTTCCTCACACAGGTCTGTAATCACCTGCGCCGGCTACTGCTTATCTCTGGGTGAAGTCCCAGAAGTCCCAGGTGCGTGGCCTGTGTTGATGGCAGAGACTATTTCTTTCCCTTCTTTCCCTTCTTTTTTTTTTTTTTTTTCAATGTCCTCATAAGAGAACTCTCTAGTTCAACTGTGGGCAAACTATGTCTTTAGTTTTAAATGAATAAAACTTAAAAAAAAAAAAGACCGTACCCTTTTATGTAATCATGTTTACTTTGAATTTATATTAGTTCACACAAACACTCCATCCATGCTTTTGTTCCGGCCCTCCAGTCCAGTTTAAGAACCCATTGTGGCCCTCGAGTCAAAAAGTTTGCCCACCCCTGCACTAGTATGTTCGGGGATCAGTTATTTGGGATCTGAGTTAGAAAGTGCCCTGGCTTTACTCGAGCTAGGGGTTGGTTCCCCCAAGCCTCTGACTTCTGGGCTCCCTGAGGCTGCCCATGTGAATAACACTTGCCTCCTGGGCTCCAGGTTCCAGGGCAGGTATTGGGCCCATACCTGGTCCACTCAACTGTTCTTCCTCTTCCTCCCCAGGCTCCCTCTGCTCCGTCTCCATTGAGAAGGCACTGCCAGAGGACAGAGGCCTATACAAGTGTGTAGCCAAGAATGGCGCCGGCCAGGCTGAGTGCTCCTGCCAAGTCACGGTGGACGGTAGGTGGTGCCCACCCATCGCCATCACGCAATCCCACCTTCACACGCCCTCCTCCCACCGCACCTGAGCAGAATGGCATCAAGGCTGCCGTCACCATCCAAGGCATTCCTTTTGTGGGTGTCAAGTCACCTTTTGCAAAAACACAACAGGAAGGAAAGTGGGAGGCCTGCTTGAGGGTCCAGGGTGGCCTCAGCCCCACTCCTGGCTGCGAGGAGGAGGGGCTCACCTTGCTGCCACCTCTCCCCAGTTCTGGCCCCACCCCCAGAACCTTGCTGAACAGGGAAGCGGGCACAGGGCAAGAGGAGAAAAGACACACCCACAGGAAAGTGACTGCAGAGGATTTTACAAGCCGCCACAAACAAGTGCCCGCTGCTGGCAGGACAGCCCGTGAGGAGTAGGGAGCAGAGCGGGGTCCCTGTGGGGAGGCTGCGTGGAGAAGGTGAGTCGGGCTGTGACTCTCCGTAGGGACAGGGCTGCCTCTGCAGGAAGGAAAAGGCACTAGTAGCACCGCAGAGGGAGGGGAGGAGATGTGGGGACAGGGAGGCCTGCCAGGTCTGCGTGGAGTTTCCCTGATGAAGGGGCCAGACCAGCTGTGAGGAGCTGGATTTATCCTAAAGGAATGCAGGCGGTATGTTTGTGACTTTGTTTCTCCTTCTGAACTAAAGACTCGGAAGCGGAATAGACCTGTGATGGTTCAGGCTACCACCTCCTTTTATAGAATAGAAAACGGAGGCCAGTCAGAGAGGGACAGCATCCTGCATGAGCTTCCCTGGCCCCGGGGGGCCCGGCCAGGGCCAGAAGCCCACTCGAGACTCAGTCCCGTACTCTTTGTTATTTGCTTGGAGCTGTTTAAAAACGTAGTTAGAAGAAAAACAATTTCTTGCCCTTGAAATGCTGGTTAGTGACCTTTCGTGGCACTGTTCAAACTAGTGTCCAGAGAAGGCGTCTGGGAGACCAGCTTGGCTGCTCTGAATGCTGAATGTGATCATTTGGACTGGGAAATTCCAACCCATTTCATTGTCGGTCCTTAAGATGTAGAGTTTTTGTCCCCATTCTGGATTTTATCATCTGCTTTCCTGGTCACAAAAGCTGAGATCTATGATACATAATGAATGGGAGGGAAGAAAAAAGAGTCTTAAAAAGAAAAATCTTTTTAAAAATACACACAATTAAATTGTCCACACAAATTAAATCGTCCACCGCCAACAGGAAAGCTGAAGTTGCCAAATATTGTGCATCTACCTAGTGTTCTGTGGATGTCTTTACCACGGGGGCTCTGAGTCCAAGGAAACAGATTGGATGGGTTAAGGTGTGTAGTCAGTTCCAAGAGGCCTTGGAGCACGTTTTGAGGCTCTGAGTTGGGGTTGCTGTTCGTGGTTAGTTACTCCCAGGTGTGACCTGGGCTGTCACCCACCCAAGTAGATCCTGCTTCTTTCTAGACAGGGGCTGTAGTTTTTAAAAAAAATAGTGTTTCTGGGAACTTGACCCTAGAACAGTGGTTCTCAACCTTCTGGCCCTTTAAATACAGTTCCTCATGTTGTGACCCAACCATAAAATTATTTTCGTTGCTACTTCATAACTGTAATGTTGCTACTGTTATGAATCGTAATGTAAATATCTGATATGCAGGATGGTCTTAGGCGACCCCTGTGAAAAGGACAGCTCCACTGCTCACATGGGACCCATGCTGGTTCCAGCCACCCTGTAAGGCAGCTCAGCCTGCTAATGAGATTATCTCCCTGGGGACTCCCTCTTTGGGTCCTATTTACACTGCTAACTGAGGCAGGGCCCTAGTTCATTCTCCTTATCTGCAAAACGTCAGCACCTTTTCTAGCAACAGCAAGTGGTTTCTTTTTAAAACCAAACTTTGTTTTCAAAATAAAATTTCCCTTTCCCCTACAAGATGCATTTGGGGATTCTTTTCTTTTTAAAAAGTTTTGGGGAATCCATTTTGCAACTTATGGGGCATTTTTGCCCATACATTGGTCTCCTTCTAGTTCATTCTCTTGCTCTCTCCATTAATCTTGATGACCTTCATTATGTATCTCTGGTTCCTGCAAGGAGGCTGCTGCAGGATTTGGCCTCAGGCTGCAGATTGGGAGTTGGGTCTTTGAAAAGAGCAAGGAGGGGGACCTGAGGTAGACCAGCCCAGACACAGGACTGACTCGGCTGCTTGGGTTTTGGTTTGTTTTGACAAAGAGACAAGGGGCAGCCCCCTTGACGTGCACCGGCTTCCCTTGTTGCTGTACTTGGAGATATGTTAGTGTCCTGCGTGCAGGTGGGCTTCTGGCCACATGTAGCTTCATTTTTCCATCAAGTGCAACCTCTGGGAAATAGTAAAGGACTGCAGTCCGCTTACCTACCCCGCTGTGCTCCAGTGGGCTGCATAGGTTCCCTGTCCTTGGTCTGTCTCCTGATCTTCTCAGCCCCCCTCTGCCCCAGGCAACAGCCCTAACTTAGAGAGCCCACTGGGTCCATGCACCCTTTGAAATTTTGGGCACAATTTTGTGTTTGTGGATGAGAGCATTTTTGGAAGAGAGGATCCATAGTTTTACACCAGATTCTCAAAACGAGTCACGAATTAAAATACACTGGAGAACGGCTTGCCACGTGAGGTAACCGTGACTGAATTGTCAGGCCCAGTCACTGTGGAGTCTCTCTCATCCGCAGCTGCTGCCTGATCTCTGGAGAGGACCGTCCTGCATTCCTCCCAAGGGGCAGTGAGGTCCCTCTGCATGAGGATGGAGAACTGCTGACGTCAGGCAGGCTGCCCCCTGCCACCCAGCAGTGCCCCGCTCTCGACAGCCCTGTCACTCACGCAGCCGGTGCCAAACACCATTAAGACTATACATCTGTGGCCAATGTAATGATATAGTTTAAGGCCTCATAAAATGTTTTTGGCTCACTGGCTGTTCTGTATTAACCACACTTCTATCTCCCTCTCATAAGGGAAAGGGGGGTAGTCTTTATGAGGCAGCAGCTCTGGCTGTTTTAGTCATGCTCTGAGTCTTTTCTCAAAGAAAAAGGGTGCTGGTGCTCTTGTGCGCTTTCTTGATTGTGGTCACACTGCCCTTCCTTCCGAGTGCAGCCGAAGGCAAGTGTCAGCTTGTACCACAGAAGGACAAGGAAGCCTGCAGTGGGTGAGGACTTGCCAGAAAACTCACCCAGGAGGAGAAAACGCTGACCTTCAAGGCCCGACGTGTACATTTTTAGTTTATGCGTTAGGAGGGCAGTGTCTTTCTCAGTGAGAAAACCGGGGCTCAGCGAGAGTCAGCAGCCTTCCCCGGTCACAAAGGCAGCCTGCAGGAGGTACAGCATCTCTGGGTGTTTCTGATCTCGACACACACCCTTCGAGCCACCCAACACAGGGAGTCACAAAGGAGTTACCCTGGCAGGGTAACTTGAACCTGGGTATGCCTGGTTCTGAAGCCTGCACATTTCCAAATAAAGCTGGTGTTTTCGTAGGTCAAAAACACTTGAATATTGGTGATGGTATAGTTTAACGCGGAACAAGCATATGATGCACTTAGCGTTATGGCCTTCTGTCTGCGTGCCCGCACGTGGTATTTTGTGGAAGAGCCACACTCAAGGGGCCAAAGAGCCGCATGTGGCTCACAAGCTGCAGTTTGCCGACCACTGGTCTAGTGGATAGTATGGCAGTGTCCACTCTCCGGTAACAGCCCTCCCTGTCGGGAAGTGCTTTGCACATGTGGCCTGAGTGACCCATTACCTCTTATTCTGGCCCAGGTGAGAGGTGAGGGAACAAAGCTCTTCTGTAGGCCAGAATCCCAAGTCAGGAGTCAGAGGACCCCTCAGTACCCTGCCCGGCTAAGGGCATTGGCCTCAGCTGCTGGCGAGGCCAAGGGCTTCATGACCAGGGAGACTTGTGCACGTGTTGGTAGGAGGTAATGTTCCCGTGGGCACCCACACTATCTCTCATCCAACAAATGTGTGGGTGCCCACTCTGTGCCAAGCACTGCTCCAGGAGCTGAGGCTGAACGCAGTGAGCAAAACAGAAGTTTCTACTCTCAGGGACTTGACATTCTAGTGAGGGGGAGACAGTAATGAGGATGAACAGATATATCATAAACTCTCAGGCAATGTCACGTGTTTGGAAAAAGCCAAGTGGGGTAATGGGAGTAGGGGAGGCTGCTGTGGGGAGGAGGATTGCCAGGCCTCTCAGGAAGTGACATTTGAACAGAGACCTGAAGGATGGGAGAGAAGGAGTGTAAGAGGCAGAGGTAATGGTGAGAGCAAAGCCCTGAGGTGAGACTATGCCTGAGACATTCCCAGAAGAACAAGGAGGCAGATGGCTGAGCCTGAACAAGGGGCAGAGTGGCAGGAAATGGGGTTGAGGAGGACAAGCGACCAGATTTGCCAGGCCATGTAGGCTGAACAAGGAAACTGGATTTTATTCTAAGTGAGGGACAACGCTGGACATCTAAAGGATCTCTCAGGTGGCCTGTGGTGACCAGACTCCAAGGGGGTAAGAAGGAGAGCAGGAAGACCCCCTGAGAGAGGCTGAAATGGTCCAGGCAGGAGACAGTGGCAGGTTAGGCTCAGTGGGAGAAGTGGGAAGCGATCAGATTCATCTATGTTGCTGGTAGGGCGGATAGGATTGGCTGATGAACTGGAAATGGAGAGAAAGGGAAGTCAAAGGCAACACTTACCGTTTGTGGGAAGCGTGTGCGGATCAGTGGTGGTACCACCTACTGAGGTTAGAATGCAGGGGTTGGGGGAGCAAGCAAGAGTTCCCTGCAAGCAAGAGTTCCCTGCATGTACCTTCTCTAAGGTACCCATGAGACATCCAGGTGGGCATGTCACATGGCATTTAGATGAATCCAGGTTGAGGACAGAGGCCAAGATGGGAGACAGGATATGGAGAACCATGCACATAGGAGGCCATTTAATGCCCTGGGATTGAATGAGGAACCCCTTTGGCGGTCGAACGACCCTTTCACAGGGGTCGCCTAAGACCATCCTGCATATCAGATATTTACAGTACGATTCATAACAGTAGTAAAATTACAGTTATGAAGTAGCAACGAAACTAATTTTATGGTTGAGGGTCACCACAACATGAGGAACTGTATTAAAGGGTCGCGGCATTAGGAAGGTTGAGAACCACTGCCCTAAGGCGTGGCTGTGGATGGAGCCAGGAAGGAGGCAGAACCCAACATTGAGAAGTAGCGCAGGACAGAAGTCTGCGAAGGCGATGGGATGGAATGGTCCCAATGAGAGGGACAGGAAGAAATCCAGGAGAGAGGGGTGTCCGGGAAGCCAGTGGTGTCATTTTGATAAGAAAGGAGTGATGGGGATCAATGCGTCAAATGATGCTGCCAAGTAGAGTAAAATGAGCCTGGGCGTTGGCCATGGGATTTGGGAGGCTGGAGCTCATTGGTAACCACGACAAGGGGGTCTCAGGGAGTGATAGTAAAAAAAACCTGACTTGAGGCGTATGGAGACTGAGTCTGGAGGGCTGAGTCCAGAACTAGAGTGGAGGGGAAGGGGTGAGGCATTCTCCATATAAGGACACATTTTCCCCTCTATATGGAGGCCCCCATATCCCCCTGCCATCGTCCTCCCCCATGCTTCTTCGGGCACGACCAGACCAGCGAAGGACTCCGGTCCTGGGGCCCAGACCTAGAAATGGAGTTCCATTTCATCAGCAACTGATTAAAATAGACTGAAAATACAAGCTGCTCTTAAACTTTTATTACTATTATTTTTATCCCCTGGGCCTCTGTGTGAGCACAGAGCTGGTTTTGATTAAGCCATGGTCCTTCCAGCCCACTCCTCGCTGCAGTTCTCACGGAGGTCTAGTGGCTTGTGGGGCATGCACATCCCCATGGGGTGGGGGTGAGGCTGCAGAGGGAGGAGGGGCTCCAAGTCAGGGGTGGGCCTGGTTTGAAAGGGAAAATGAGCCCTTTCTTCATGGCCAGATGGAAAGATAAGGTGCAGAGAACTTCTTAAACAAGGCTCGGAGCCCATGGCAGGGGAGTGCACTCACATGGTGTAAAGCCAGCGCCTGAGCTGAAGACAGATGCAGCGGCTGGAAACAGGCGATGGGGGCTGGACAGGGAGGGCTTCCTGGAGGTGGAGAGTTCCAAAGCAGATTTGGAAGGCAGCAGGAGATGTGACGAACAGGAGGGGTGATTAATATGAAACGATCGTCTTTCTGCTCTCCAGAGCACTCCGTATGCATTCTTCTTTGAGCCCCGTAAACCGGGGCCTGGGGAGTGCGATGCTTCGGTTCAGGTACTTCTAACGTGCAGCCAAGCTTGAGAACCACAGAGGTTGACAGATGTGTACTGAGGATTGTGCTGAAGAACGACCACTATGCCTGGGGAAAAACCAGTGTGAGAAAGTGAATTCATCCTTTTCCTGGTGCTCTGTGCTCCTCCATCCATGTCCACATGGACTCTGGGGTGTGGGCCACCCAGTGAGGAGACAGGACAGGCGCGGTGGCCGCTATAGATGGAGGGGACCCTGACTCACCGCGGAGGGTGTTTCTGCTCTTACAGAAGGTGGTAGAAGGACCAGGCAGTGAGGAGTGGAGGCGGGGGAGGGGCTGGGTGTCACGTGCTGCTGTGAAGGACTTGCTCCAGCTCTGTTCCCTCAGCCCCACCCCCTGCCCTGTGCTGCTGCTTGATGCTCCACCTCATCATTCCTGCAGTTTCACGTGTGCAACTCGGGGCCGACTCCCTGGGACCTATGTGCTTCGTTGCCTCCGGAGCCCAGACAATGCCTGTCCCAGGCCTCCAGCCCTGGGTTACCCAGCTAATGCGGGGGCGGGGGTGGGGGGCAGGCATGAGCTGGGGAGGGAAGCCTGGAGGGTGTGGAGGGTTTATATGGGCACATCCACATTCTGGAGCAGGAAAGACCTAAGTGCCATCTAGAAGGAGCAGGGCGTGCAGATAGGAGCACCAAGAATCCCCTAGCTCTGTGCTCCCCACGCCCACCCTCACAGCCCTCAGGAGAGAGCGTGTGTTAGCAGCCAGGACTGCCCACTGGGGAGCCGGGGCAGCAAGATGGCCTTCCTCCCCAGCCAAGCCACAGGAATGTGGCTGCTGCCTCAGCTGGGAAGTCCCCCACCCCCACCCCCAGCTCCTTTCTCCCTCGCCGTTTCCTCTCTTCAGGAGCAGGAAAAGGATGGACAGGAAGGGGCTCTGAGGGGAGGCTCCCTCGCAGCACAGGCCCTGAAGAGCGTGCCTAGTGGGGAAAACACTGCGGCATAGTGATAGCCGTTGGGCCAGCTGCTGCTTATCTGAGTCCCTGGTTGGTTTCCCCTCGACTTCCTAAGGTCCAGTCTCCTCAGGGCCCAGTGAGGGCCTTAATGCCCAGCCCAGCACGATGTCCTGCTGCCCTGACCAGGGTTCCCCTGGCATCACCCACACTGTGCACCCCTGGGAGAGGGGGCATGCGGAGAGGCCTGAGGATTCGTGCACGCACCATGCAGCATTTCCGCTCTGCCCGGAAGGCCGCTGCCACCGCCCACCGGGCCCTCCGTGGCTCAAGGCTCAGGCCAGAGCGGGTGAGGCATGCCGGCCGCCCGCTCGGAGGTCTTGGTCTGGTTTGGAGGTTTGACTGTCAGTGTCCATCTGTGGAAGGAAGCCAAGAAATCAGAGGCTGTAAGGCCTCTCCAGACTGTGAGCCCCAGGGCAGGACCCGTTCCCTCCTTCCTCTGTACAGGAATCCTCTCCTCATAGAGCAGGGTTCTGGAAGCCAGAATGTTTACCCTGAGAGTCAAGACCAGCGGAGGGAAAGGATGGGAGAGGTGAGCCGAGGGCGCCGAATCCCCCCTGCTCCCGTGATGCGGTGTCTGGCAGCAGGTGCCCGCTGTGGAGGGGGAAGCGTTCACCAGCTCCCGGGACAGCCTGTCCATCCATCCTGCCAGGCGGCTGCGCTCTCCACCTGATTTATAAGGCCCCGGGCAGCGGGCAGCGACACTCCTTCTTTGGTGCTCTTGTGGAAGAAGGCCCAGGCGCAGGCGCCCTGCTGGGCAGGCACCGAGGCCCTGGGAGCTGAACGGGGAAGGGGAGGGGGCTGTCCTTTGGTTGGGGTGGGATTTTTATTGAGATGCCTCCTCTATTCATTTCCTTGGGCCACTGCCCGCTAACGTTTGTTGTCACCTGTCTGTTCCAGATGCCCCCGCCAGTGAGAGCGCCAAGGCCCCTGAGATGAAAGCCCGGAGGCCCAGGAGCTCTCTTCCTCCTGTGCTGGGAACAGAGGGTGAGTACCTGGTCAGCTCTTCCCGGGGTCCCCAGGCCTGAGGGCCAGCCCAGGCCCTGCCTGCCCCCGACAGCGCTGGGGCTCCTGGGGACGGAGACCGGGGCCTCTTCCCAGGCCTCCCATCTCTCCCGACCTCCCACAGCCTGCGTGGAGGTGCCCGTCCACCCTCTACCTCACTCAGGTCCTTCCTCCTTCTCCCGAGAATCCTGGGAGCGCTTCTCCTCACCTCTCCCAGTGGGTCTTTCCTGCTGGTGGGTAGACCTTTCTAACTGGTGGCTCTGGCCTTACCACTCCTGGGTGGAGTGCCCAGCTGCCTGACACACCTGCCACACATGCACCCGCACGTTCCGGTGTTGGCCTCAGCCTGCTTTCCAAGCGCTGCCCTCACCTCCTTGATGCCTATTTTATACTCAAGCCAAACTGAGCTCCTCGGGGTGCCCTGGACATCTCTGCATTTTTTCCTTTACACCTTCATTCTGCACCTCTCTCATGGGCCAGGCTCCCACGGAAAAGCCACCTCATCCCTGATGGAGTCCATCCTTGCTCCAACTGAACGTCACTCTCCCCTCCTATGAGCTCCCGCAGCCCTCAGCACCTCCTTTCTGCACGGACCGTCTTCTTCCCAGGGCCACGGTGATGTGTCTGGTCTCCTTCTCCCTCCTCCACTAGAAGTTTCCTGAGGGCCACAGCCAGGCTCAGGTGGCCCTTCTGGGATGACACTGCTGCGCCTGCTCACAGAATGCCCCTCCCCCCCGGAGTCTCTGAGAATCAGGCTGTAGCTGCGCTACCCATGGCCGAGGGGAGGAGGATCCCCTGGACCGCGTAGGGCTCTCCCCGCTCTGTGGGTCTCGGCATCCCACGGCCCACTTACCTAGAGGCAGAAAGTGCAGGGTCCACGGTGCTTTCACAGGCCCAACACTGTCCTAACCTCATAAAATAAGAAGAAAAAATACACTTTAGGTCAAAGAAAATGTTTTCATTCAGAATATTAATGTGTTCGTCTTTTTACCAGTGCAGTTGGAAATATAATTCATATGTTGGTCTATTGATTTATTTTATTTTCTTTTTTCCTTAGTGGAGGAAGGGGCCAGTGAAGGCAAAAGTGCCTCGTTCACAAAGCCACAATGCAGCAGCCCTGGCTTCCCCTACTGATGAATTATTGGTTAGAACTATGCTCCGCATCCTCCAGTTTAAACAGCGGGTGTGGGATTGCTTGAACATCCCTAACACACACTTTCTACATTTAAAAAACAAACAAGATAAGCTCTTACAGACCCATACTAACAGAGGAAAGTGATTGAGCTTCATTAATTCAAGGCTGTTTCCCTATTTCCATTGCAACACAGTGTTCTGTGGCTTAGTTTTACTCTTTTATTTTCAAAGCAGCGCGTGTCCCCTCCTGATGATGAGCTTGCGTCCCTTACACATACTTCAGCCAGGCCATGGGCGGGCGAGGGGTGGAGGGTGTTGGGGGGCCTGCCCAGCCTTCAGTGTGGTGGGTCTGCCAGTTGGAATTATAATTTCTTATGAGAATTTAACCACAGTGGGGAGCCTCAGATTACCAAGTGTGGACCTTTAATAAGTTGTTGGAGGTACATAAACAATTCTAAGAAAAACCTAGTAAAAATGGGTTAATGGTGTTATCTTGCAAAAGGATTTCTTATGCCTGTGCTCTGTCAGTTATGGGAAATGTGAGCAGAAGAGAGGCCGGATCTTAGAAGCGCACCAAGTACCTGTGAGCCAGTCTGGCAAGTCACTCGCCAGCCCTGGGGCACAGCAGGAGTTTGAGCCGGGAGGTCAGCAGCCTCCTGTCCTCAGTGAGGTCCTGAGGGAGGTGAGGTGGGGTCACGGGAGAGCTGGAAGGAGAAAAACAAGCTGGAGATGGAGAGCAGACCCGCCTGGCTCCTCGCCCTGGAAGGGAGGGCTGTGGAGAACTCCCGTCAAGTTGTCATCGTCCAGCTCTAGGGCAAGGGCTCTGACCCTGGCTGCATGTGCGGGTCACCTGGGGAGCCTTCAAACCCACCACTGCCCGGCTGCACCCCAGACTAATTAAGTCAGGAGCTCTGGGTGCGGCCCAGCCCTCAGCATTTGCTTAAGCCGCTCCAGGTGGGCAGGTCAGGCTGGAAGCCAGCTGTCCCAGGAAAGCCGGGCCTGCACTGTTGGCCTTGAGAAGCCGAAGGGCTCTCCTCTGTAGCCTCCCTTAAGTTCAGCGGTTCTCAACCTGTGGGTTGCGACCCCTTTGGCGGTCAAACGACCCTTTCACAGGGGTCACCTAAGACCATCCTGCATATCAGATATTTACTTTACGTTTCATAACAGTAGCAACATTACAATTATGAAGTAGCAATGAAAATAATTTTATGGTTGGGTCACAACATGAGGAACTGTGTTTAACGGGCCAGAAGGTTGAGAACCACTGGTTAAGTTGGACACCTCTGGGCCCCTCATGCCCACCCGCCCAGTTTCCATGCTGTAGGGAGGGAGCACGATGCTCAGCTCTGCAGTGTGGAGGCTGGAAGGCTGGGCTCCTGCCCTGCAGCGGGAGCAGGAAAGGGGCGCAGTCCCCAGTGCTGCTAGGGGAGGGTGGGGCTGGCAGGAAGGGCTGCATCTCTAGAACATGCACACATCCACCAGGGATCCGCTCCGCAGACACTGCTCGTCTGCTAAGGGGAATTACCTCTGCATCGAGAGCCTTCCTGTTAGAATTGCAGACATGTGGCTTCATGTACACCACTGGCCACTTGGAATTCCTCTGCTGGCCCGTCCCCTCCCCCAACCTCCATCACCCCAGCCTGTTGCTCCTGGAGGCACCTGAGGAGGCAGCTGCCCAGAGATAGGAAATGAAGAGGATGTCTCTTAGGTTTGCACCGCAGTTCTTTTTTCTCAGCCGGGGGGGGGGGGGGGGGTTGCTTATTAATTGCCTAAGTTAAGTATACATGCATTCTTGTTTAGACCTTTTAAACAGTATCCAAACATACCAAGTACTATGTGAAAGGCCTCTTTCATCTACCTCCAATTCCACTCACCTCAAATATATCGTAATTACTGTATTCTGTGCATTTGCATTTATATATGCAACTATATCACACGATCTGGGTGTCTCTGCAACTTGCTTTTTTTTCTCTCACCATTGCCATTCCCAGGCCCAGATATCTGATTCCACGAGAAAGCCCAGAGGCTCGAGTCCCTGAGTGGCCTGGCTGTGTTGTGTTCATTTTTGTCAAAGGCTGGGAAGTACCTAATGTAACCAGGAAATCCATCTTTCCTGCCAGTGACCGAGGGAAGGCTGAGTGGTTTTCTTGTCAAACAGATTGTGGCCAGATCCCTTCTGCAGCCCTCCCCTCCGCAGCCCCGCGTTCAGTCCTGTAAGTGAGCTGTCAGGTGTGAGTGGACAGCTCTCATCCACGCGGGGACCTGAGAGCCTGGGGGAGCCCCACCATTGCTGAGCTGGCCGGGCCCCACCCACGGGCGGGCAAGAGGAAACTGACAAGTACAAGTTAACCTGCCAGACACCCAGTCGCAGGTACAGGAAGGAGTGAGGAGGGGTCCTGTGGGAAGATTTCAGGGTAGGGGAGACTCTGGGCCAGGCTATAAGGGAGGAGAAGAATGTGGTTTGATTGAAGAGGAATGATAACATTATTGGAGGGAGAGACTGCACCGATGCCATAATGAATATTGTGAGGACTCCTGACTTGGAGGATCGTTTGCTCGTCATAGAAAATAAGCATTTATTGAGCGCCCGTGCCGCAGGCATCTTCTTGGGTGCTCAATCTGTGCCACTTCAGGCAAGTCTCACCCTACTGAGCTGTTTCCGTTTTACAGATGAGCCAAGCTGAGCCTTAGATAACTAACTTTTCCCGCCCAGGGTCTCACGGCGAGTGAGATGTGAAAGTGTGAGGCCAGCCCTGCTCTACTCTCCTGCCATAGCAGTCACCTGCGCCTTGGCGTAGCCTCAGAGCCACACTTTGTGTTGTCCACACAGGCTGGGCAGCACTTCTGTCTGCGCTTGGGGTGCAGAGGTCTGACTGTCATTGGAACTGGCGGGAGGAGAGGGGGTGGTGGGCGGGAATGGCATGCTTCCCTGGATCTTGAGACCTGTCAGGGTGTTTGCTGCATGCCTCTCAATGGGAATTTTTAAATAACTTTATTTGATATAATTCAAATTTGCAGAAAAGTTGCAAGAATAGTACAAGAAGCATTTATATACGCTTTACTTAAATTCAATTATTTACATTTTGTTGTATTGTTTTACTCTGTATGTATATATTCATATATATTTGTCATTCATATATTCATACAGCTATATATTTACAATATATCTTATATAGATGATATGCATACATATTTTCCATTCATCATATAGATACACGTACCATTAATGAATGAATTAGAGACATTATGCCCTTAATCTCTAAACGTCTCATTGTATATCTCCTAGGACGGTGATGGCGAACCTTTTGAGCTCGGTGTGTCAGCATTTTGAAAAACCCTAACTTAACTCTGGTGCTGTGTCACATATAGAAATTTTTTGATATTTGCAACCATAGTAAAACAAAGATTTATATTTTTGATATTTATTTTATATATTTAAATGCCATTTAACAAAGAAAAATCAACCAAAAAATGGGTCATAGGTTCGCCATCACTGTCCTAGGAACATAACCACATGCAGTTATTAAAATCAGGAAATTTAACATTGACCCAATGCTGCCATCTAGTCCACGTCTACATTCAATTTTTGTCCATGGTCCCAATGTCTTTTACGACTGGTCTTCCCCTCCTGATGGGCATTTAATGGCAGCGCTCGGGGAGCTTCATTGACTCAGACTCCTCCAGCCCAGAGCTGAGCACCTCCCCTGAGCTGAGCCAGTGTGGGCGGCAGCCTGCTCAGGCACAGGGTGTGGCCAGATAGCCACCGGGATAGAGGGCAGGGGACAAAAGTCTTGGTTTTATCACTAATTGAACCTGAGGCCTTGGTGAAAGCCCTTTGCCCCTCTGGA